TTCGTTTTGTCACTGACCATCTAGTGGAGTAATTAATATGAATCGGTGCTGTTAACGAACTATAGTGCAAGTACACGCTGAACGATTCTGTCATTCGCTTTGTCACTGTCCATCTAGTGGAGTAATTAATATGAATCGGTGCTGTTAACGAACTATAGTGTAAGTACACGCTGAACCATTCTGTCTTTCACTTTGTCACTGACCATCTAGTGGAGTAATTAATATGAATCGGTGATGTTAACGAACTATAGTGCAAGTACACGCTGAACGATTCTGTCTTTCACTTTGTCACTGACCATCTAGTGGAGTAATTATATAAAGGGCTGTAGGGATTTATTTGGATAACAGTTTGCTGTGTATAACGGATGTAAAAAACACTATCGTTTACAATTTGAAGTCAGTAGGGTTGTTTACATTTATTCTATAATCTATTTTATAAACATTATTTATTCTATCATCAACAGTAGTTAAAACTACCTTAATGAAGCTATGATCCAATAAAATGTTTAGTATGCTGGATAGGCTAGTTTAAGCTACAACATGATAAATGTAACGAACACATGGGACATTAACGTTGAGGGGAGGGTTCGCGGTTTTGGAAACGGAACAAACCGCAAAAATGAAACACAAGTACAGTAACATAACACGCAAAGATAAAGAGTAGCAGTGTAGGGGAGTGTAGAGAACGAGTGTGTGAAACATCTCCTTTATCGCGCAAGTTAGACATAGGCAATAATATCGGGCGTTATCGTGCTGTGCTGGTGCTGTGCAGGGCTGTGCAGAGTTGATGAATCGTCGTTGCGGCGGTCGACATTAGTCAACGGCGGTTTGGACCCTATCAATGTTTTTCATCGCGATAAATAACTTGAAAAACAGAACCCTCTCGTTTCATTGACTTTTATCAGCGTCGGTCTTCCCGCAGCAGTTTCGATCACACCGTGGAAATATATTTTTGAACGACTCGTTCCGCTGTAAACCGCGTATTTTTGCGATGGCTTTTATAGCCCGTTTTATATGCACCGATCGCGAGGGCTATGCATAATCCTCTTTATCAGATTGCGTTTTTCAAATCGAATAATTTATTTCCCGATTGATAACAAAAACACGTGCAAAGCGATGTCCATCTTTTAAACTGATCACGCCCCGCTCTCTCGGTTGCGTTAACGTTCGTTATTTTTGAATGCATATTGATGAGTTTTAGTGTGAAAAACGTTCGGGGATAACTCCGGTGCACAAACGTCCAGCTTTATGTCGGTTTATGTGATTTCATCCGCGATTGCTTTGATTTATAATTTGGTTGAACTAACGAACTGAAGACAACAGCCTACATTCATAGTATATTGATATTACCCTCCAATAGTCAATGATATTACTTACTCGGTCTATGGTGAGTCTAAGGATAGATTATTTAACGATATTTCTGCAGTGTAATACACAAGAGTAATATTATTGTCTCGGTACCTAACATTTGAATATTATAATAAAAATACTCGATACATGATTCTTAACGATTTTATTAGTTATGTTGTTTGATTTTGTAACCTCACTCAATAACCACTTCAAACAACATTCTCTCGCTATTCCTATGTCCGTGATAACTGGTTACTCGGTAACATCTTTCCTCCCCCAGTACAGTCCCTTCCTTTGCAAAGTGTCGGTACAGTCCCTCTCCCCTTCCGTAATGGCGTGTTTCACAAGATGTTGGCCCTTATATTGATACCCTCTAATACAATCGCTTTGGCACTTCGTTTCTTTAACGAACACTGCATATTTACAGTTTACGACTTTGATTTTATAGCAATATTTCAGAGCTTTCTTTGACACTTTGAAACTAAAATACGTTACGGTGCACGAGTTTTTACATTTAGAAAATTCCCATGTTTTACGAAGTTTGCTATGAGTAATGACTTATTATCTTCATAGTAAGAACTATTCCAAAATCGCTGGATTTTTTATTGTGTGTGTACGTAGTAGCGACAAATTTTATATCGTACAAAGTGCTCCAATATTTGATGAAACTTGTGGCAACATGTAAGCCAACAAATCAAATTTAATAAGTTCATATATTAAATTTAGGGATCTCATAATATTTTGTTCGACTGTTAGAAGAGGTCTTAGAAGAGGCATACTTTTACTCTATTTTGTAATAAAACAGCCATAATATTTTGTAAAATATTTGCTTGCCATTCAAATCGACTAAAACTAACTCAATTTAGTATATTGAGCGGTTACATAGTTATCTTTGAGATCACGTAGTTATTCGCTAAAGATCGCTTGTTTTTGTTAACATCTTTATGATATTTAGGTAGTCGATCATTTAATTTAAATTTTTAAAAACCGTCATAAAACCTCAATGTGTGCCTGGTATATACAAATCTAAGTATATTGGGTCAATGTTTTATACTGTGCATGGATTTGGGAGTACATTTGATTTTATTATGTACCTGGTTGAATGAAAACAAATACGAGATTTGCTTAACACTGTAGGTTAGGTTGCTTGCTGAAATGCGCATATTTTTACACTTATGAACCAAATCAACTTCGTAATAGCTTTTGGGATAATGTTGATTGACTAGTATATTCAATATTATACTTAGAAATAAATTATCTAGGATTTGTTCAGACAAGTAGGTCTACATTAGTCTAGTGTATACTTTTTGTATCATGATTTATAAGATAGATTCAGTCAACCGACAACTCTAAACAGACTATGTAGTTACAATCATTGTTCAACATTCGCGAAGACAAGGCGAAACAGAGTGAAATATGTTACTTAACGGTAACCCACCATATGGATATGAGTCTTAAGACAAGTCACATTGAATAACATGAGACAACAAGATGAGATGTACAGTTCAGCAAGGGAGGGTCGAACCTATGCTATCAGCTGTTGAGTGTTGAGAGCGCGGCGCCGCGGCGCTGTCTGGGGGATGGGAGGGGGGGGTATTTGCAAATTACGGGACATTTAAGCGTCATGTATTCCTCATCAATCGAGCTCGTTAGCTGGCAGCTTCATTCCTTGATTCATCGCCTTCTTGGTGATTACATCTTGCCTGCTACACTCTTCCAACCCGCCCCATCATCCCCCTCACTACCACACACACAGTTCTTCTAAAACATGAAACACCATCTTCAATAATACTAACTACAGTTGTTTCAAATAGAACGAACGAAGTGATTGTAAATACATATTACGTAAAAGTTAAACAGAGATTAAAATAAGACTTTATGTAAAAAAAAAAAATTAAAATGATTTTCACTCACGATTGATACCGCATGCACAAAATATGTGTATTATGATTGCAGTAATCAATTGTTTGCTTTCCATGGAAAGTATAAGCAAAAGTCGTGACTCGTTGAGGGTTTGTCCAATCCCAAAGCGGAACAAATATTCTGCTGCGACAAATTATCAAAATTCGAATCATAACATAGGTAGTGATTAGTTAGTTAGTTAGGAGAACTAATTCCATTCCTAAGGTGGTTGAATTGGACATAACTTTAAACACCCACCACATGTAGGATGAAAAAAACTACAGCTTTTTGCATAAGCCTTTTGGTAAATAATGTATTAAATTTATGTGTTTGATAGTCTTTCATAGACCGATAGATCTTTCAGGGACACGTTTAAACACATTTTAACGGCCCATTTCAATTTATTCCTGACGCTAAGTGACATTGTGTGTACAACGGGGTCAGGCGTACTTACCGGGAGATGAAAATAATAAAAAGCAGCAATAAAAGTCGGAGGTAATTAGGTAAGTGTGATTTCATTAGCGGAGATCCCTGAAGCGGGCCGTGGGGAGCGATGGCCGCGCGCCGCGAAAAATTACTGCACAACTGTTTAACTTAATGGGCATTCGCGGCTTAATCTTGGCGGAGTTCATAACAACGGAGAATCTCGCTCCACACTTTTTATGGTAATGGAGACACGGTAGGTAGAATGGAGAGCATTTTTGTAATATTCCGTTCCTGTAGCGCCACCGCCACCGTATCTCGATGACATCGAGTCGTCGACCGGCAGCTTGGCGTTCCATTCAATTAAGATTTGCTCGGAGATTGTAAAATGAATTATTTTGAGGATGCAATCTTTTTCTTAAAAGGAACTGAGCTCTCATAACGAGTGTTATTTCAATATTACGTCTATTCGTTATGCATGTGTTCCTAAAGTATAGGCCTACATAATAGGAAAATAACTTAAAATGTTAAGGTGTCAGAATCGTTAATGTGTTAGACAAATTCTATCGCAATCAAAGATCACAGAAAATAGTCACAATACATCGTAAAAACCTTTGTACAGTTTAATACAACAACTTACAAACCAATGTCTCGACAACATAACAAGTCTATTGCATAATCTACGAGGATAACCAAGGAAGAGCATTATACTCATCACAAACTAAATTAGACATAAATACCGTCTGTCGTTTTAATAACATCGCAGAATTATTTTCCTAATGGAACAAACAATAAGAAGGATGATGAAACAAGGCTTACAATTAGTGCTGGTGTTTATACAATTAATTAGGGAGGATGAAGTAGAAGTCGACTGGGTACGTCAGCTCGTCTAAGTAACATCGGATAGAACGCTAATGCGATCTGTAATAATGCCGAGAGAGTGAGAGAGTTAGGGGGTGGTGAGGGGGGGGGGGCTGGCGTCTACTCAGTAATGATGTTATCATATGGAGGGGGAAGCAACCATCCCTCTGTATTAATGTTCTCTTATCGTGTTCCCCGCTTGTTTTTAATGCCTCTACATTACTGTACTAATTAAAATCTATCAAGGGCGGCCAAAGTGCGCGAATTTGCATACGCTACGGCTGCAACGAGCTCCGACAACGTGTTCACTCTATCTCCATCTCCCCCACTCCATGGTATCTGTAGTGTTTTACAACTAACTATTTATATGCAACTTGTTTAGCCGAGTTCGATTTTTTACAGCAGAACAGCAAAATTTTAAGCAGATTTTAAGATTCTTATCTAATTAGCCGTGCTTGTTTCAGGTGTGGTTCCAAAACAGACGAACGAAGTGGCGAAAAAAACACGCAGCGGAGATGGCTACGGCAAAACGTAAGCAAGAGGAAGCGGAAGAGAGTGAAGAGGAAAGTGAACTGAGAAACAACGCGGCCAAGCGACTGAGACAAGAACTAGCGGCTCATTGCGGCAATTCAGCTATATAGCATCCAATATGGCCGCCGACCCAGCGGCCCTCGGAGTAGAGAATGTGCAGTAGTCACTGGGACAAACTGAACACGGACAATGTAGTAGGGACTGCGGCATACTATACACGGACAATGCTGTAGTGTCAATATAAGCATGGACAGTGCAGTAGTGCTTTGTGCAAACTGAATACTGCCGAAATCGGCGTGACAAATGGAAGTGAACCGTACAGTTTAACGAGAACCGAAGTGGCGCGGAATTCTTGTGTATCGTGAGTTACTTACTTGTTATATGAAACATCAAACGGTCTTAAAGTAAATTTGTACAATTTATTTATTGTGATTATTAAAGTTCAATTAAACATGTTTGTAATAGGCCTACATCTCTACGTTCCTTTTCATAATATTTACGAACTCAATGCATTTTTGTATACAGTTTAAAATACTTTTTGTTAATAAACAGAGAAATGTGTTTTAAAATAAGAAATTTGATTAGAGCTTTTATACTTTACAAAATACATTTAGTTTTCAGGAAGACTGGCATAAAGTGTTTAGATAGTGAATAACTCTGACATGGGTGTTTAATTTTGTGTGGTTTAAGAATGACCAACGAACAGAATAGTAGAATAACCGCCTTTAATTTTTGTAAGCTCTGCGATGTTAAGTATTGTACAGTATTGTAAATAGCGTAAGAATATTTAATAATGGAATAATTATAATATATTATTTATCATAGTTTTAATATATCACGCCCTCTGTAATGTATACGTTTATACATAATTAAGATTTATTACTTGGAATGACAGCTATTGCAACAATTATTAATCTAGACTCATACAATTTTTGTTTGTTAAAAATGTTGTTTTGTTTAAGATTTTAGTAAAATACAACCATTGGAAGCGGTACGATCTTAAATGTTCAAACGGTTAAAGTTCTTGGAGTACATTGCAAATTAATTGTCCAATATAAAATATAATTCTTTTGTAATAAGTATGGTTAAGATATTGACAAAAATGATTAGTAAAATGTATACCTACGGTACAAACGAACCAAATTTGAATTCGAATAAAAAATGGTTGCTTTAATTTATTGATTTCACAAAATTATAGGTGTAAATTATCACGGGTATAAACATCTTACGAATGACTACGTAAGGTTTTCCACAGAAGATACAAATTCAGAGTGTTAAGGTAAAACTAAACAATTTTTCAAATTTGTAATAAACTAATCTGTAATGGTCAGTGTATGTGATGGTAGACGTCAATAGCTTCTTTCAGGTGATATTTTCTATTTTTGTTACCAAAGATTTGTTTGCTGTGTAAATACAGTTAAGTAGTAGGTGATGTGTTACTATAGCAATAAGGCTGTGGGCAGAGTCGCAGCGTTCTTGTAAAATAAACACGTTATTGGTCAAACCTGTATTTTACTTTGATTCCTCAACCCCTCTACTGGAATATGACATGACTATAGTTGATGGTAGAACCTTGTAGAGACGACACCTTTAATTGGTTTATGTTCATTAAACGTGTCTATTGCAATGGTATATCAACCGTAAGCAAGAGTATATAATCAAATAATACAGTCGTTTTACAGTAACACAATATTAGTGGTCTATCATTTAAACAGAATATCAATAATAAAACGAAATAGTATATTTCTTCATTAGGGCTAATGTTGCGGGTTTCGACCCGAGCTCAAGTGACCGGAGGAAAATGAGCGAGGGGTAGAAATAAACTTTTTGCCAGTGATGAACTATTTTTTCGAAATATTGCACCTTTATCTAAACAAACTAGGTTACACAACAAAAATAATTTAAAATGCAAAGATGACCTCTCAGAACAACTACCAACTTGTTTTCAATTTTGCTAATGCAAACAAGCAGCTATTAGATAAATAATTCAATCATTTCGTCTATTACGATTGTGTTAGTGTAAATTATCTATGATAGTAGTAAATTATACCACTGATATGTCGAATTATTGACAAGAATGCAACAATAGGCTAAAACCGATTAAAACAATGGATACATACTTTAAATACATGCAATTAATTACAATCAAAGTTAACAACTGAGTTGAGAACAGCTGACATTTACTCCCTAGGGACTAAAACTTAGGTGAGAAAAATTATTGCTTTTACTTGTTTAGACCCACAACGCATGTATTAAAAACGGATGTTTTGCTATGAACAAGTAGTTTTGAGCAAGAAAACGTTATTTGTGAATCTAATTTTATTGTTTAAAAATCACGATAAAAAATGGTAAGTGTATAGACATAACTAAAGGGTTAAAGAACGAGAAACTGTTTACATACTGATGACGGATGACATGTGTTTGCACCACGAAAATAAGCCCATTTGGTTAAGGTTCTATGCATAGAACGAGCCACTATAGTAAAAAAAAAATAGTTTTGAGATACATTAAAATAAACCGAATAGTTTTAGCCACAGAGAAAACTCGCAAATGAGTAAGTTAGGGGGTTTTGATATCGCTAGATTATCGAAAATTAATCTAAAATATCCGTCATTGCAAGAAAGGTATTGCTGCTAAAATAAAGGGTCAGAAGGCTTATTTCAATAAGAATTAGGATTTTTCTGGCATTATGTTGGCCATTGATTAGTTCGTAAGCAGACTCCCAACACTAACTAGTCTCGAATCCACTGAACGTGATAGTAAGGTCTCTTTAGTTACAAAGAGTGAGGTGGAATACAATTTGTGTTCGTGTCTTAAGTCTGTGCTTCAGAGTAAAAAGTGCGTAAGACCGATGCCGAATTATGATATGTGCCGCATAATTGGTTGTATGGATTAGCAGTGTATATTTTTTACTGCTTCTAAGTATAACTGAGATAATTTTTGAATTGTATAGCTTCGTATTATTACATTTAAATCTTATTCCCCCCCAAAAAGGTAAACCCTAATAATTACTAGTAATAGGTAGATCCTAAAGATTTAGAAGATGTTTTTTCGTTCGCTCAAAGTCTATTGTATCAGAAAATCTATCTATACGTTTTCCCGATAGCTGAATGAATCGTTTAGTCGAATATAGTGCATAAAGATGCGAATCGGATATTGATATACAATGAAATACATTTGTGTCTTCATTCCTACTCGGTCCAAACCAAATATTCCTCTGAATTGAAACCAAATCATTTTATTTTCTCAATTGTCTTTATGGAACATAATTTACTACAATTTCATTCTATTTTCTTAATCCGTAAAACCAATAGTAATGGGTGTCCCAATAAGAACGCCGGATTTGAAATGTAACAAACCATATATTTTCTCACTAAATTTACAACATGAAACATGAATATTAGAGCATAGTATCTCCGATTAGTAATTGAGTATTATGTCTCGTAAGTGACAACCTGCTGAATACTGACAGGCTCGACATCTCTTGACAAAGTTTTCGAATAACGTAAATAAACATTTCAAGTTTAAATTACTTGCAGAATGATATAGCCTAATAGATTGTTTGGAAACATAATTTATAAATAAAAAACTTTTTTAATACAAAACGTTTTTAAATGCACTAAAAAGTAGAAAATAATTTATAAATATGTGAAGAGTATAAATACTTGTAAGATTTAAAACGAAAAACGTGGGATGCATGCAATTGATAATAATACATTAGTTCAATAGGTAATTGTAAATTATCTATTGCATGCACCCCACGTTTTTCGTTTTAAATCTTACAAGTATTTATACTCTCCACATATTTATAAATTATTTTCTACTTTTTAGTTTTTAATGTGTGTGGATGTTAAATCTATTTCATGCATCTATATCAGATTAGGACAGAGGCATGTGGGAAATCTAAGGTTTATTTGAGTTTCTTTTCATATAATTATGTATTAGATTGAATGTATGGCCTATCTACTAACTATAAATAAAGCAATCTATTTAATTTATTGTTTACTTTATAGAATACTAAATAAATAACAAATGATTTTGAAATGTTTGTTTGTATAAAGAATCTATTGGGAGCAGAACCTTTTTTGAACTGTCAAATTTAAGTATTTACAGCTGACTTTAATTAATTGATATATTTACATTCTTTCAAAATGTAAACATGAAAAATTTGGAAGCCAGTGGGGTGGAGCCCAAGGGAAATATGAAAATTAAATGATATAATATTGCATTGTCTTCCATTTGTGAGCTATGTTTCAAGTTTCAAGTCTATAGCTCATCGGGAAGTTAGTATAAAATTGATTGCAAAATTTGTACCGGACAAGAAAGCGAGCTAATAAAAACGTTTTAATAAAAACTACTGAAAAATGAATGGTTTGTATATTTTTCCAGTTAATTGGGTCTTAAAAATATGTAAAATACTACCTCATTTGTGACAATTTTATGAAGAATTAAGAAAGTTATAGCATGCCGACAAAAGTAGGACTTTAGAAATTATAATAGATGTTCTCGCTGACGAAATGGTTAGTATGAATACCATACATGCAAACTTTTAAATCATACAAACATTTGAGGTTGCTAAATAGAAGTCCATAATCATATTTTCATAGGACATACTGGATCGTCTATGCAGTGCATGATCTCGACATGGTTTACTAGGCCAGAAGTTAATAGATGGTATCTGTCAATTAAGGCAGTATTGCACTGAGGTTAGTATTCACCCAATTTTGTTGAATAACTATAATGAAGACATTGGCAAATTCTACACAACGAAAGCAGAAATTAAAACATTTAGTTAGCAAAATCAAAATGTTTTTCTCATGGGGCTAGAATAGTGAGTAAAGAAATAAAACTCTCACTAATTTTATAACATAACATAGAACAAAGAGTGGCCACTCTATTTTGTGGTTCCAGTAACAGATTTGCTACTTAGAATTTATTTTCTGACACACAAATGTCTTACAATTTCAGATTCTAATACAAGGTAGTTTAATTTAGAGTTATTGATGTAAATACGATGTTATATTGTCAGTATATAAATGAAACAATATGATCACATTTTAAACAGGCAATTTAGTCATATAATATTACATAGATGTAAATCTAAGTGTTTATTTCTTGATATTACACAATCCAATATAGTAGACCCAAACTGCAACCAATTTTCGTGTGGCTAAGCGTATTGAGATGGCTTAATTATTGTAGGGGTAATTTAATTTAAATATATACCAACTACAGCATTGAATATTTTCTGAATATGTCTTATAACGGACACCCCATCCCCAATTTTTATTCTTCTAATTTCCATTACATGTACAGTAAATTAATACTATCCTTGGGAATATCTATCAATAGATACTAGCAGAATATGAAAAGTTAGTAGACTGCCGTGGTCTCACCGATACTTTCAATCATGACTGGACTGGTCAAGACTAAATGTTTGACATAATTAGATTTTTGCACAAAGTTTAAGTCAAGTTCATTGTCTACTTATTCTATTCTAGCCTGGGGAATCCGTAGAGCGACTGGTAGTCATTGACTATTCACAACAACATAACAACTACAGTATCCAAGACAAAATCTGGCATTGTAAAAATTGGCGTTTAAAATTATTTACGATACCTGCATATTAGTAATCCTTTGTTGCTGTTGGTAACTAGTTCCTGTTCTTCTGAACCCTCATAAGACCATGTGGTGTCAGGTGATCACTTCTCTTGAAGGTCGTTAACAGAGCTCAATAAATAAAACATATACCAGACACGAACGATACACAAAAAATAAACGGTATCAACAATCTGACACATACTTTCTCCCATTAGCTTGTGAATAAAGTTTATCATGGGTAATAACTTTTGAACCGTAATTATGTCAGCAATGGGGGTTGTTTCCCGCGTTGTTTAGCTGTCTTGGTCGTTAGGGGTCTTGGTAGCACTGAAGTTTTTTTTTTATATTGTAAGGACCATAACACATTGATTTTAATCAAAACCGGCCTTTTTCCTAAAATCCAATTTTTTGTTGTTATGGGGTTTTTATGGGAAAATAACATAAGTTAAAGTCACCATTAAAAATTAAAATGAAAAAAAGAAAAATAAACGCCGGTGATACCATGTCCTACATACCAAATTTTACCAAAATCGGACTACAAGTGTGGTCTGTAGCTCTGTAGCCATCCACGCATACATACAAACACACACTCTCACACAGACAGACAACACTTCGAAAACCACTTTTTTGGGTTCAGGGGGGCCCAAAACGCATATATCCGCTTAAAACTCAAACTCGAAAATTTTAACGAAAATAATATACTTATGGGGGGAGAAAGTAATAACTTTGACTTTCACGTAATTTGGAATGAGATTGTTACTCAAGCATGTTTTGTTGATTTTAATATTCTCTGTAGCTTTATAAAGTTTTATTTTGATATCCTTTTATTGATGGACTGATTTTGTTTGCT